TATTCGTTGTGTTTATTGAGGAAAGCCTTCTCAAATTCATTCAACGTCTTTGGATCGGCATAATTGAGCGTTGAAGTGCGCGATGGAGAAGAGGCTGCACTGGCCCCCAGTCGACCACTGTTGCTGAGAAAATGGCTACTGGATGAGCCACTTCCGCTCTTGTGCCCTGAAGACCGAATTCGCGTAATGATGGTCTTCTTGATCACCTTGGTGCCGTCTGGCTCAGTGTACTCCTGCACAGACTCTTCAGTTGATTCCATGTTGAATTTTGCTTTTTGTTGCTGTGAAAATTCGAAAAAAAGATATCAATGATGAGAAAACAACAAAGTGGCAAAGTGTGAAAAAAGAGACACTCACTCACTTGAGACTCCTCTTTTCTCGATGAGAGCTACCACATTAGGGTACAGCGGCGGGCCTCTTTTCTGGACTTGTTGGCTATATATTCATTGTGTTGCCTGTGCTAGTAGGCTGCTGCTGTTGTTTCTACAACCACCGACGATATCACCGGTCACCTAGGCAATTGGAACAGACCTCACATATTTGCGTCTAATCGAGCACTCGAGGCATCCATCGGTGTTTGATTAGCTAGTGCGCGGCAGCAATTGCTGCTGCTGCTGCTGCTGCCGCTGCCGTTTCTGGTGCCTCTTGTCTGGTACTACTTACCAGCATTGTTTCACCCCAGTGCAATACAATCTGTCTCTGCTGATGGACACACTAATACTGTGTGCTGGTAGTATTAGCACACACACGCACAGAGTACAGAGCACACTAATGCCACTCTATAGGTGTCAACAGATCACATCACACCGGGCGCTGGTCATGACAGTCGAGGGAAACTGGAGAGCTGCTGGTAACGATGGTCAGGGACACGTGTGGAAGGATATGTCAAGTGCGTGTAGTGAGTGCTGTGGCTGGGCAGTGGGTAAAGTTGTAGCCGGGCAATGAACGATCAGGACAACCGTGCTGACCAAAAGTGAATGAAACTGTGGTTGCGAGTGCTGCTGCTGCTCGGCAGAGGAGCCATTTCCTCTGAGCCTCGACAGGCTATGCATCACTTGGTGAGGGCAATTTGCCTAGGCAAGCAAAGCTGCATCCCATTGTGCTCCGTTTTGCCGGTTTGTTTGCTTTTCCTCTTTGCCTGTTGTTGTTGTCCAGTGTCGGCAGTTGTGTGTGTGTCTGTGTGTGTTCAGTTGTCTGCAGTTGGTGCCTGAAAAAGAGCCTGTCATTGAAAGTGAAGTGCAGCCATTGTATAGCAGTGAAGTGCAAATGATGAGAAAGTAATGAGGAATTGAGGATAGGAAGAAAGAGAGGGAGGGAAGGAGAAACCGGCGGCAGACAAACCATCAGCCGACAATTCATCAAAAGGAAAAATCGAGTGGTGCTCCTGCTCCTGCAAACACCGGCAGCTTCTTTGCCTCTTGTCGCCGGTTCTTGTTGCTTTCAAAGTTTGCTTTTGTTATCCGTCCTTTTGTAGTTTTATTCCGACTAAAACGATTTTTCTCTCTAACATTTTGTGCAAACTACTTTATCCTCCCTACCAGGCCAGTGTCAAGCAAACGAATTTCGCTGTTTAAATTCACGGTGCATTCAAAAGAGCAGTTTGTGCGACGCAGGTTTGTCTGGTCATCGAAAAGAGGTGCACACATCTATTTTCATTGTGCTTTAATGTTCAATAGTCTGTGATTGCGCCGGTTCCTGTGAAGACGAACTTAACTGCACCAGACAGTACAGCAAAGTGAATGGAATGATCAACTGCTCCAGTGAAAACACCGTGGCTTGCAAAATCTCTGAAGACGGACGCACTGTGGAAAGATGCCTTGGCAAAGTAAGCTCTGAAATACAGTACATCATTTTCAATTTTTGCCAAACGTTAACATTTTCTCCTAGGAATATATATGCGATGGTGTCAGCGACTGCCCAAAATCGTTCGATGACGAGTTTGGGTGCTCATTTGGAGGTATGTAGTGTTCTGGCTGCCGATTTTGATCGATCAATTGTCGTTTTTACAGCAGCACTTGTCGATATTATGAAGGCGAGAGAGAGAGAGAGAGTTAATATCCATTAGTTGGTTGTGAGTAGTGAACATTGATCTCATTAGCATAAGAGAGCACAAGCGGCTCAAATCAAAGCAAAGCAGTGTCGCTTCCTTCCTTCTTTAAGACTAAACAGTGCTGCAGTGGTTAGCGATGCGAGTAATTAGAATTAAGTGATCTCGCTTTTCCCCTTTTTAGTGGTTGGTTCTGCCATAAATTATCGCATTAGAATTGGCCACTTTGTCACACGATGGCCACCACGACACACAAGCTGTGTGCGGTAGCTTTTGGCAGTGTGCAGCGAACAATTTGTCACTGGGGAGCAAATCGAGCTGGCAATTACCCATCGACGACTGCTTATTGCTTTCGGAAGCCTTTGTCTCTCAATGAGGATAGACAGCAAACGCCAGCAGAAAAGGGTTTGTTTCGGTTTCGTTCCGACATTTGCTGCGGTTCAACTGCCAGTCAGCCATTCAGAAACAGCATTTGGCGGTATATTCCTCCATTTTCTCCCTTCCCTGCCCATAATATTGGCCAACCAATATGGCTTATGTGGGTGTGTGAATTTCTTTTTCTTTTTTTTATAAGAGCGACTATTAATGCCAAATGGCTGGTGACTGCCTGGGTAATGCCAAATGATCGGAAACCGGGCACCACTGCTGCTGCTGCTGAGTGCCGCTGCATTATCGGATTGCTAAGAAAGAAAGGAAGTGCAAGGGGGAAAGAGTGAAAGCTGCCGCTAATCGAAGTAGTGCTGCTGCTTTTGCTGTTGCTGATGAAGTTGATGCTCTTGAAGGAAATGTCCTGAGCAGTAACACTTGCCCACTATAACGTACCACTTTGTTGTGACCTTTTTAGGGTACACCGAGGAGAACTGCGCTCAACAGAAAGACTTTTGGTGCCCCATCGAAAAGGTGACCAGCTGATGTTCAACGCTAGTTCAATACATTGTAGTGTTTCACTGCACTACTGTGTATTACGTAGCTAGTCTGTCCTCAGAGAGCATTTAAATAACACGACCGTCTTTTTCTTTTTCTCTTTTGCAGCGATGTTTGCCCAGACTCGCCCGTTGCAACTTTATTCAAGAATGTTTACTGGGAATGGACGAAGTCGGTTGTGGTAAGAAAAGTCGATCGATGGTCGCTCCTTGTTCTTTCTCAGTGCTCCTAGCCATTTTCGAAGCTGTCTTGGTTTAAAGGAGGCCGTTTTATTTATTATTTACTTACTCTTCTCACTAACGCTTTTCCTGTCGCCCAATGTTCACCCCGTCAGAGAGACCTCCATGCGATGGCTTCCAGTGTAGCTCAGGCCAATGCATAGATAACGGTATGTTTTTTTCATTTATTTCAACTGCATATACTGAAACTCATTTTTGCGTTTTTATAACAATTCCGTTTTTTTTGCAGAATTGCGTTGCGATTCAGTGGCTCACTGCTATGACAAAACCGATGAAATGAAATGCGGTAAGTTTTTCCCGCGAGCTGCTGTTCAAATATTAATTGTCTGGCTACTTTTGTTGTCCCTGCTGTTGACTAAACTTATTATTTTTCTTTTTTTTTGCTGCCGTCACCGCAGAAAACTTTCAGTGTCCGAGTGGTTTTCGAAGTTGTGATTCAGGCCAATGCATTCACAACGGTACGGAAAAATTGCTGTAAAACTTTCTTTTTTTCAGTCTAGAAAATGAGTGCAATCTTCTAAAGCTAATTTTTTTTATTTATTTGTTCAGAATTTTGGTGTGACGGCTACTTTAGAGATTGCCCCATGGGCGAGGATGAGGAGAACTGCAGCCAACCGCCCAAAGCAAACTGCGATGCAGAGAGAGGACTGTTTCGCTGTGAAAACGGTCAGTGCATCGACGCTCAGTACCGCTGCCTGAAAAGCGCCGACCGTCGGCTGATGTGCGCAGATGGCTCCAATCTGCACCACTGTGCCAATTGGACCTGTCAAGGTGCCGAGCAAATCAAGTGCGCCGGAAGCTACTGTGTAGAGGAGGCGCTCCGCTGCAATGAACGCCTCGATTGTCCCGTTCTCAGCGGTACGTTGATCACTTCATTTCTACCGCAAATATATTAAAACTCATTTTTGCATTTTTACAATTATTTCTTCTTTTTCTACAGATTGGGCTGACGAGGCCTCCTGTCGTAAGTACCGGACCGCTTTTTACTCACACTTACTCATATCTCAATATCAGTGATGCATTCCAATCAGAGTGATCTAATTGAACGTGTGATTTTCCGAGTGGTGAATACTACGGAAAGAGGGAAAACTCTTAATTGAGTTTGCCCGTCACCAGGAGCCAAGTGCCACTTGCACTTGGCAAGTGATTGCTAGAGGCAGAGTGGTTGTTTTTNTTTCTTTTTCTACAGATTGGGCTGACGAGGCCTCCTGTCGTAAGTACCGGACCGCTTTTTACTCACACTTACTCATATCTCAATATCAGTGATGCATTCCAATCAGAGTGATCTAATTGAACGTGTGATTTTCCGAGTGGTGAATACTACGGAAAGAGGGAAAACTCTTAATTGAGTTTGCCCGTCACCAGGAGCCAAGTGCCACTTGCACTTGGCAAGTGATTGCTAGAGGCAGAGTGGTTGTTTTCGGGGCTTCAAAAAAGGAAAAGGAGGCACAGGATAACCATCCGAGCAGAGGTCAGCAATTCGTTNTGACTTCAAAAAAAGGAAAAGGAGGCACAGGATAACCATCCGAGCAGAGGTCAGCAATTCGTTACATCTCACACTGCCATAGCCACTGAATTTGCAAATATTTTTCTTGCTGCCACAAATGTGTGTTCTATGCATTTTTTCCTGTCTGCCTCAGCGGAACCACAGCTGCAGTGGAATTTACATAGGGGCACAGAGAGAACAAATTGCGCGCTAAACGAATAGTAGTGAGACGAAGAAAGTGAGAGGGAAGGAGAAATAGAGATCAAGAAAAAAACAAAGCAATCTCCATTTGATTAGCATTTCCTCTCTTGTTCTCTCTCTCTCTCTCTCTCTCTCTCTCTTTGTTTTGTTGCAGTTTTTCTCGCCATGCTGATTGCTCTTTATTAAAAGTCTATGAAGCATAAAATGCAAGTGCGTCTAGGCGAATGTGTTTTTGTGTGCGTATTTTAGGTTGTTTTGGTGTTAGTGCTCTCCTCTCGAGTAGCAACACCAGCAGCAGCAGCCATTAGGCGGAGAACTCTTTCTGGCATGTTGCAGCTCACTTTTCGCTTGGCTTTAAATTATTGTGCCAAGTGTAGAATTGGTGCACGGTCATTTCCTGCGTGCCATTTCCAATTATTACGTGATCGATTCTACTGGCAGCCCTACTGTACAATGTTCACTGAGAGCTGACTGCTGCCACCGACTGTTTTTTGGCGCAAACACCGCGGCACTATGCGGTGCGTGTCATGCTGTGTGCTGTCCATGTTTGCTCTACTCTCTCTCTCTCTCTTTCTCTCCGAGCAAATAAGTCTGCTCGACTTATCGAGCAGATTGAAGATTAATTAAAGTGAATTAAACACTGCTAGAAAATGGAGTCTCGGGACATGATGTGACTGGCTCAGACTGGCGTAGTAATTGATTGCCAATTCGCTCGATGGCTCCTTTCATTCCATTATCACACAGAGGAGAGTAGTGTCTGTGTGCCTCGAATGGAAATGTCTCCTCAGTTGGCACCACATCTAATCTGAGGGTCAAATCCCATTTGACGCTGACGATTCAGCCGACTCTTTGTTGTTCTTTTTAACCGTCACTGATTTGCTGCTTTACTTCTTCTTTTCCTACCCCTCCTCCTCCTCTTTTCCCTCCTGCAGCTTTTATCTGCTCAAAAACAAACCGTTGTCCCTGCGTCGACACGACCATCAACTGCACTGACCAGGGCCTGACGGCCATTCCCGAAGGCATCGAAGACCAAATACTGCGAATGTAAGCTACTACTACTACTACACTAGGTGGTTCAACTCATTGATCCACCATCAGTCAGACTCCCGCTGTTTATTCTTCCTCAAATTAATCATCTCCCATTTTCTTTTCACCACACACTCACTCACACACACACAGGATATTGAAAGGCAACCGCATTGGCCGTAATCTAACCATCGACATGTTTGTTCGCCTCGACCGCATGTACATGATTGATCTGAGCAGCAATGAGATTGCCTACATTCCCCCCAAACTGTTTCGAAAGCTGTGGAAACTTCGAATTCTGTAAGTCAATTTTTTCCGTCTATCACCATCACCACAGTGTTTAATACTTTCGTTTTGCTTGGATACACTGGCAGGCACCTGGGAAAGAATCGCATCGATGTGATTGACTCGTACACCTTTGTTGGCATGCCCAATTTGGTCACCCTGTGAGTAAATTTAAGTGGTCACCCAGGAGAGCATTTGTGTCTGCTGTGCCGAAAACAATTTGTACAGTTTTTGCGGTGTGTCTTCGTGTTCGTGTTTGTGTGTCTGTGTGTGTTCACTCCTTAATCCAAATTCTGAGCCATCTCTGGCGCAAATGTGCGTCTTGCTTAATGAAGCGTAGTAGAGCGTGTAGCGGTCAATAATGGCAGCTTGTCTCTTTCTTTCTCTCTCTACCTCTTTTTGCAACTGTTTTCTTGTAAACCATTAGCCTGGACAGACTGAGGATAAACTGGCTCGCGCTAGGCTAGATGGATGAGTGCCAGTGGCAAGTGGTTTACTTCTCACTCACCAGCTTCTGCGCCTAATAGCTCTGCCTGAGAGGAAACGCCGCCGATTACTACCATCTCAGTAAATCACCTTTTCCAGCACGCTTTTGACCGTAGATTTGCGCTCCTTTGTCATTAGGTCGCTAAACGGAAACAAAATTGCGGTAATTCGTGAACATGCCTTCAGTGGGCTTGCCTCCCTAAAAACACTGTAAGTTGATTGAACCCATCAACTCTTTATATTATTATTATTATTGACAGCAACCTTTTCCTGATTACAGAGACCTAAGCAATCAGCGGATATCCTCTTTGCAAAAGAATGCCTTTTTTGGTCTTCGCTCACTTACAAATCTGTAAGTTTTTTTTATTTGAAAAAACCAAAATTTTATTTGTAAAATCAACATTTTGTTTGCACCTTTACCTGCAGCGTATTATCGGGCAATCACATTTACGAGCTGAACGATGGAATGTTTAGCGGTCTTCAGGCGGTCATATCGANGTTTGAAAAAACCAAAATTTTATTTGCAAAATCAACATTTTGTTTGCACCTTTACCTGCAGCGTATTATCGGGCAATCACATTTACGAGCTGAACGATGGAATGTTTAGCGGTCTTCAGGCGGTCATATCGATGTATGTTAGAGTTTTATNTATTTGAAAAAACCAAAATTTTATTTGTAAAATCAACATTTTGTTTGCACCTTTACCTGCAGCGTATTATCGGGCAATCACATTTACGAGCTGAACGATGGAATGTTTAGCGGTCTTCAGGCGGTCATATCGATGTATGTTAGAGTTTTATATCCCTAAGTTCAAAGAAACTGATTTTGCTTTTATTGAAAACAAAAAACTAGCGATCTACTCGGCAACACCATCTCTCGGGTTGGCTCGAAAACATTTCTCGGCCTGAACTCAATCAAGCAAATGTAAGCTGAATTTCTTTTTTAAACAAAAAGAGATTTATGTTCATGTTTCCTTTTCTATGACAGCACTTTTGATGAGTTTCGCTTTTGCTGTCTGGTGCGCCATGTGGACACCTGCTACCCGCCGCCTAATGAGTTCTCCTCCTGTGAGGACCTCATGTCCAATAGCATTCTGCGCATTTGCATTTGGGTGCTGGGCCTGGTGTCGATGGTGGGCAACACCTTTGTCATTAGCTGGCGACTAAAGTACCAGACGGTCAATCGTGTCCACTCATTTCTCATCATTAACCTCGCCCTGGGGGACTCTTTCATGGGCGTCTACCTCCTCATTATTGCCTTCGTCGACTCGTACTACCGGTGAGCTCCGTTTCTTTTAGTGTGTATTTTTCACTATTAACAACCGTTGTTTTTGTTATTTCCAGTGGCATCTACTTCATCGTGGATGCCGACTGGCGGCAGTCTTCGCTGTGCCACTTTGCCGGCTTCCTCTCCACGTTGTCCAGCGAGTTTTCCGTCTTTGCCCTGCTGGTGATCACCATCGACCGCCTCATCACCATCACCTTTCCCTTTCGCATCTACAAGATGCGCATGAAGGACGCACAGCTGATCATCGCCATTCTCTGGCTGGTGGCCATCGTCCTCAGCGGCCTCCCACTCGTTCGCTACCTGCCCTTTGACAACTTCTACGGCCGCTCCGGTGTCTGTCTGGCGCTGCACATCACCAACGAGCGGCCCAGCGGCTGGGAGTACTCAGTGTTCATCTTCCTCGTCCTGAACCTGCTCTCCTTTGCGCTCATCTGCGGCTCCTACCTGTGGATGTTCATCGCGGCGCGAAACACGCAGATTGCCGCACGCTCAGCAGAGAACCACCTGCAGAACCGCATGGCCCGGCGGATGGCCTTCATCGTGCTCACTGACTTCTGGTGTTGGGCGCCCATCATCCTCCTGGGCATTGTCTCCCTCTTCGGAGTGCCCATTCCTCCCGGCGTCTTTGCCTGGATTGCCGTCTTTGTGCTGCCGCTCAACTCGGCGCTCAACCCGGTCGTCTACACCATGTCCGGCGTGACTATGGTCGCGCGGAAAGCGAACAGTGTTGTTGGTGGTGGCGGGGGAGGAGGAGGAGGCGGTGGCACTGGCGGTGCCAGTCCTCAGTCGCACATTAGAATGAGCATCAGAGGACAGAACGGCCATGGATCGTTCAAGACGAGCAAAACGAGCTACCTGTAAATTGAGCCTTTGCTGTGCACTTTTCCACAACACTACTACTACCTGCCTGTTATTATTAACTTTTTGCCTTGCATAATAATATTTCAAAATGTTTTGCATTTTTTTATTATCCAAACACATACTGCTTGTTATTGTTTGAACCGGTAAATCTCCGTAAAGTAAGCATCCGGCTCTTTTCCCTCGTAGACTTTGAGGTGATTGAAATTGTACATCAGCGTCTCTGCCTCCTCAGTGGCATTGGCAAATTTTTGTCCATTCTTTCGTGCTTCACCTACAAGAAAGTTGGCAAAGTACTGACCGACTTGAATTGCCTCTTGGTCGTGACTAATGTGACCGACACCTCTTCCCACGACCCACTCAAATTGATTCTTCTCGGGATGCCACACCGAAGCGTACAGCGGGTACTTGCGATGCTCAATCATTGACACTGAGGTGATGTTGTGAAAGGTGTTGGTAGAGAGTACGGTAAACTGACTGGTCAGGTTTCGGTTCCCATACCAGTATTCTGTGGAAAGGCAGGAGATGTGGTAGTTTGCCGTTACATTGTTCTGCCTGAGTATGTTGATGATGCCAGTTGTTCCATCACTGGCAAACACTTTGCTGCTCTTTTCCGTCACATTGGCAGGAATGTCTAGTGGCAGTGCAATGTCATCCATGTCACAGCGAGTTGCCCAATCCAGAGAGCTGGCGGTAAAGTAGGTGGCAAACTTTTGAAAACTCAAACAAGTGCCCCACACAGGAAAGAAGTTGTCGTGGGCGTTGGCCCGTAGAGCCCAGCTGAGAATTAGATCAGCGGCGTTTGAGTAGTGCGTGTGTGTAAGAGGGTTCCCTCCGCCCGTTAGGAGAGCGCCATTTATTTGACTCAGCAGGTGTGTGTAGTAAGCATTTGGTTTGTTGAGGAAAATGGGTACCTGAAAAAGTAAATTATGGAATAGTTTTAATATTTTAAATTTTTATATACTTACTACACGAGCCCCTGCACTTTCAAGCCACTTGACGTAACTTGAAGCAACTTTTTGATGAATTTTATCATGTTCTTCCTGCAGCAGAACACCCAAAATGGGGCGATTGTTCAGCTGAAAAGAGTTTTGAATGTGAACAAACAAAACAAATGCTACAAACAACTTAAACATTTTTATAAGAGTTGCAAAAAAACTAAATCCGGCGCACTTATAAATCTTTAATATAAAGTTTTTAAAATCAAATATTATCACTTTAATTAATTTTGTTATCTTTATTTTAAATGCAAACAATGATAAACTTTAAAATACTTTTTTAAAACAAGTTTTTTATTTAGTAAAAAATTATTATTTAACAAATTAGCCGTTCAAAAACTTAGCCATTTTAGCCATTGACTTCATTTTTTTAACTTTTGATTGTTTTTTCTTTAAGCTTTCTTTTGTTTTTAGATTTTTATTAAAATTTTTTAGTGTTTTTTGTTTTTTAATATCATTTTTATGTTTTTTTTCTTGACGAAAATGAAGACGATTTCCAGCTCGACCATTTACATCATTACTTCCTTTCATATTTGGGGATTGAAAATGCTTTGAAAATGATTCTCCAAGTTTATGTTGGAAAACTTTTGCAGAGACAGCAGCAAAAAACAAAAATAACAACAAAATTACAATGATTTTCATTTTATTTTTTAAATTTGTTAAAGCAAAAAATTGATTTATGTAGTTAAAATATGTTTTTATATAACTTTTTATTTTCAATTTTTAAAACATTGACATTTTTAGCCCTCATAAGTCATTTCTCAAAAACTGTTTTTTTTAACTGTGGTAATTTATATTTGAAATTGACGTAATTGAACTGTGTTAGTTTTAATTAAACGTAAAAAATCACAAAACTGTTTTTAAAAAATTTTAAGTTTTAGTGACGCAAAATATTATATGATTTTTAAGTTTATTTAAGGATAAACAACTTAATCAACTTTATTTTAAAAATAATTTTTGCAGCAGAGTAAAACTGAGTTACCGCAAAACTGTGATTAGATAGTTAAAAATGATTAAATTTAGTCGCGACTTTTATTTTGTAAATTAAAATAATAAAACATTAGTTAAAACTGGATCCAATTTTGATTGTTTTATGTTGTTCAATTGCAGCATTTGCAACAGCAACACTTGGGTCGGCAGCAGGCGCAGTTGCACTTGTTGTGAGCACTCTTTTTTGGGGCAGACTGGCAGCACTTACAGCTGCAGTTGCCACAGTTGCAGTTGCAAGATCGATTCTGACAACAAGTGCCAGTTCCGTTGGCACAGTTGCCAGTGCACTGACAGTCCTCGCAGCAGGCATTCTCACTGTTGCCGCAACAGGAAGTCTTCTTCTCGCTCACTGGGTCCATTTTTTGAGGAGTTTTGAAAAATTGATTTGTTGTCTATATGAGGAAGTAGTTGTTACTGATGATGTTTGTACGACAGCATGCCTACGTTTATATACCCAGTTTTTGACCATTGGAATGAGACGCAGTTCCAACGACGCATTTTGAGCAAGCGGGGACCAGTGGGGGAAAGCACTTGAAAGTGCTAATCTCCTGTTGTAGACCAACTAAATGTAGTGTTGTTGGCTTTCTTATACAGTATTGCATTGATTAGATTGCGGAAACTTATCAACAAATGAGGGCTAGTTTGGGGGAAAGCACTTGAATCAAGGATTAGCGTTTGCTTTTTGTGAGACTTAATTTGCCAACAACAGGGGTCAAAAAGGGGAAAGCACTCGAAACTGCANGGAAACTTATCAACAAATGAGGGCTAGTTTGGGGGAAAGCACTTGAATCAAGGATTAGCGTTTCCTTTTTGTGAGATTTAATTTGCCAACAACAGGGGTCAAAAAGGGGAAAGCACTCGAAACTGCAATCCGTTGGCAAAAATGACTCAATTATCTGCAACATCTAAATACAGGTAAAACGCATGACAATTGATTTATATTAGAATGACCTTCTTATTTGGTCCGTTTGCGTCATGTAGTCACAATTGGGTTTTATGAACCAATAAATGACACCTGACATGACAGTCATGTATTTTCAAATACATTCTTACCCGTTTTCATCGTTAAAAATTGAGTTAAAGTAACAGTTACTGGAACTATTAAAACGTGGAGATACTACACCAAACGTGCAAAGTAATGTTTCTTGAACCAAACCTAGTACATTTTGTTCAGTAAGTTTTCAGTAATTTTTTGTACTAGGTAATATGTCCTAGGTTTGGGGCAAACTCAAGTTATGACCATTTTTCTAGGACCAGTTTTAAGCCATTTTCCTCATAGGCTGCAGTAAAACAACTTTTTGCAAAAGGGGCGGGGCTTATTTTAATAAAAGCACTTTCAAAGGCAAACTTTTTGTTCACAGTGCTTTTTTAAGGACCGCCCACTTTGTAAACCCGGTCCTAGAAAAATGGTCATAACNAGCAAAAATGGGTACATTGGCTGGCTCTGATGCACTTGCTAAAAAAAGCGTCAGCAAAATTAAGCATTTATTGAAACTTAAATTAAAATTTTTTTGTACAATTAAAGTAGTATTGTTTACATTAAAAACTTAGACAATTCCGATGGCATATGCTGCATATGATANCAGAAACATTACTTTACACGTTTGGTGCTAAGCAAAAATGGGTACATTGGCTGGCTCTGGTGAACTTGCTAAAAAGAGCGTCAGCAAAATTAAGCATTTATTGAAACTTAAATTAAAATTTTTTTGTACAATTAAAGTAGTATGGTTTACATTAAAAACTTAGACAATTCCGATGGCATATGCTGCATATGATATGCAACTTTTGAGCAACCAAAGAAAACACCAGACTTATTTAGATTGGAGATTTTTGGATTGACTAGTATGGGTTTTCTCCAACAGAGGGCAACGTAAGTTACATAAAAATACACAACATTTTTTAATAACTGAAAAACTTTTTTTATTTGATGAAACATTATTGCATATTTAAAATATGACTTCATTTAAATTCTAACGACATCTGGTTCACCTACTAGTTGACCCTGTTTACTGACGGTAGATTTGATAGTGACTTTCCATTTTGGAATAATGACTGAGCTTGCATCGTATTCGTTGCCACTGCTTTCAAAACGAAAATTGAATGGAGCAATTGCTTCGATGCAAGCACTTTTTAACTCAAGTACATAAATACTTCGTGGAGGAGTTTTAGATGCAAAAAGCTCTGCAATGGGTTTTTTGGAAGCAGAAAAAGCTGTTTTGACTTCATCATTGTCAATATCCACTTCTATACATTCTGTTTGCTCTAAAATTTTTTTAAAGGTGTAAATAAAGCAATTTGTATTGTCAAAAAAGGTTATTTACTCTGAACTAGTGCTCCATCATGGACATCGTGTGCAGTTAGAGGCCTGCTCGGGTCATCGTAAATAAAAGTTTCTATCAATCTGGGTTTCACTGGAACACTTTGCACTACAAAGGTCACTTGAAAGTGAAAGTAGTAGCCATGACTGCCAATCAGTGGGTGACGACGCCAGGCTTTAGTCAGCTTAAAGTCCCTGGCATCGTCGGGAAGAGCGGACTCTGTGTTGCGGTAGCAAACGCTGTTCAGAACACAATCTTTTATTCGCGATAAATTTTCTTTCCAAAACTTGAGTACTTTTTCATCTGTAATAGAAACTGGCTCAGAGCCGAGCGCTTTTGTAGTGTTGCAAAAAACACCCGAAAAAAAGAGAAGAGAAAAAAACCCCACGATTAACAAAGGGTGGTGCATTTGGTGTTAGCTTTGGTTTGCTTACAACATTAACAAATAAAAGTTTACATGGAAAAAATGTTTCAGTCGGTTTTATACTGTTTGCTAAAACACCGCTTTTTATGTCCTTGTAAAGACAAGCAAGCAAATTGCCCATTTTCAACTTGATTCAATTGATTCAAAGAAGTACGGGGAATAGCCTAAACTGCATTTTGCAACAAAAAGCAAACCAAATTGTTACGAGGCCGTGTAATCTTTTGTTGTGAGCATCATTGGGCGTTACGAGGATGGAAAAGTGGAAAATGAAGCCTTAAAAAATAATTAACTTTTTACAGCATCGCTTTCACATTCGTCCGAAAAGCCGTCTGACATTTGAACTGAAGCCAAGTTTTACAGCTAGTGAAGCGATCCTAATGTCAAAAGCGAATAGTGAGTCGTCAGTAGGGCAAAGTGTTTTGCGGAAAAGGCATTGTTCTTCAAACGGCAATTCATTAAGAGGACAAAAAAGATTCGCATTTTATACTGGGTCTGCCAGAGTGCCAGGAAGAAAATGCCATTCGAACCGTTCTTATGAAACTTTCTATTTCTCATTTTATACTACCAAGTTTAGATAAATATTTAGTTTTTTATTTGCACTGTCTGTCTCTCACTACTTTCTCTTACAAATCACACAGTTTGAGTAGTTTTTCATTTATATATTTTTGTATCATTTGAACACTCACTTTTTGAAGTGCAAATAGAGTGAATGCTGCAGTGGACTTTATTTAAAGTTTTTTTTCAAAACTTCACACTTCATAATTATCATCATCCATCTTTAAACAAATATTTTGATAAGTACTGGGTAAATAGATATATCAAAAAAAAGAATATTTCGTAGAATGTAGAAAAAATATAAATAGATGTGAAAAGAAGGTCAACCCACCCTCAGAAAAGAAAAAAATTCTCCGGACGTAGATTGACTGCCACCAATTTATGTCAATTTTTCTATCCGCATTAGTTTGCAAGAAGTTGGGCGTGAAATATGCTGTAAATACATTACGATTGGTCATTAATTTGTGCCGTTTGGTTAACAAATGACAGCTTTATTTCTGTTTTCTATCGATTCATCGTTGGGCTATTTATTTAATTTTTGTGTTTGATCTTCTTATCATCCTGTTTTTTCTTCTATCATGAAGGTCATAAAAAGTACAAGCGCATAAACACACACACACACACACACACAAATTCACTTAATTAGATACTTACCCTTGTCAGATTAATTAGCGTTGTGTAAATTCTAACTTTTAGATGTACTTGGAAACTGTAAATTGAATTTCAATTTAAAAGTTTTTGTGTTAAAAAAATTATTTCTTTTTGTAAGAAAACTCTATCATTTCAACTTTCCTCGATCTTTCTATTCAATTAAAAAGGTTGCGCTATCAAGCATTTGTTAGGCAATTTGACAATTACAAATTAGTTTGAAAATTGGAAAACACTGTTAGAACCAGCGAAGTGCTATTAACAAAACAAAAGATAATGTTCAATTTAGATCTGTCTGCAAAAGCTAATAAAATAAAAATTAGTCAGCTTGTGGCCTCAGTTTTTTGAAATTTAATTCAATTTAAAATCGTAAATTAGTTTTTTGACTGCTTGGCTAGATGCTTAGACTTTTTATTTCTGCGCTCTACAGTTTTCCGATTTTTGTATTCTGTTTGGCGCGAATTTGGCCTTCGGTGCTCAGTGAAGTGTTCAAGCAAAATGAAACCTAGTGTGTGTGAGTGTGTGTTTGGTTGAACCGCTGGTCGTCATCTCTTTCGCTTGCTGACTTTGCTGAGACGTTATTATTTTGGCAGTTTACATTATTAGATGAGCTGAAAGAGTATAGGAGATAAAGTGGTAGAAGAAACAAGAGAGTTGAGCTTGATACTGAAAAATGAAAGTGAAAAAAATGATGATGTCGAAAAAAAGTGAAAGTAACACAATATGAAACTTAGTCTAGCCAGATGAGTGAGCTCAAATTGGCTTGGCTCACTCAGTTAAAAATGATTATGTGACGCGGTGACTGGTGAACAAAACAAAACGAAAGGGAAAATGAACTGCTACTGTAAAAATATGTCTCTTTTGCTCTTTGTTGGTGAACCAAGGAAAAATGTTGTTTAGTTATTGCTACTGCTGTTTTAGTTGGAACGGCAATTTTTTGTTACATTTGTTAGATTTTGACAAGTGCTATGTGGGTTTCTCATTCTCTTGTTTTTTCTTTTAAAAATAGTATATAAAACTTTTCATTGTTGAAACTTTTGTATGCGTTGTGTGTGTGCCTTTCCATATTAGTTTTACCATTTTGTTTTTTTTCTGCGTCAGTTGAATAGTAACGAAAAACATGAAAATGAGTTACAGCACTAAACACAACTGTAATGAGATTGATTTGAAATTTGTTTTACTACAAATTTCTAAGGAATTTTTTCGTTTGTTTTTTTGTGCTTCTGTATTCAGTTTGACATTATAAAGATTCATTTGCCACGTTTTTACTGAGGGGCAGCGGGTATGATGGTGGTGGCCGCAATGCTGGTGGTGATGGTGGTGGCGGTGGTGATTGAGTTATTCTACTTTGCATAAAATGTGCCTATTTGTGCCATTGAATAGACTGCAATGTGTGTTTTGAATTTAATAGAATTTTTCTTAGTGCGAAGGAAGCAATGAAGATAACGAAGCAAAGATGGGAAGCTGCTGATTGTAGATGAGAGTGCTGGTTCCGTTTAGGGTTGCTTTCATTTTTTTGTCCTTTTTCTACCCTCTTTTTTACCGCATTTCAGTGCATCTGTAGCCGTCTTCTTTGCCCCTTCTGTTGCGCCCTGCTTTCAGCGGAATTTACTCATTGAGCAAATTTAAATCGATTTAAAAAAAGAGGAGAGAAAAGGAATGATAGCACTGTGTAACAGTTTTTCAATGTTGATGTGGATGGCAGGCTTTAGAATGGAAACAAAAAAGCCTGACAGGCAAGTGAGATGCTGAATGAGAGGGCTTGTGCTAAAACGAAAAAAGAATTGGCATCGATTTGTTTTCGCTTTTCTCAGTATCTTTTTGCGTTTTTCCTTTTCATCCTCCTATTGATTTGTATGAAGTTTAAAGTTTAATTTTTTACTGCAGCTTAAGCTTTAAAGTTTCAAAGCGCAAATTGTGGATTTAGTGTATTGCAGCATAAGCATCACCAAGTTTGTATTCCTATCAGCCAAAAGCCTCGTTCCAAGTTAATGGTTTAAATTAAATTAAATGGCAGTGCACTTTGTTAGCACAGCAACTCGATGCAATCAATGAGATCCCTATTTGAGAAGAAATTGTCTTCTCTTTTTTTTACTTGTCAATTGTCGTACGGTAATGGCCCAGCAAAATGCTACAGCAAAATAATTGAATCGCTAGTGTACTTTTTTAAACCAATTTTTGCGTCGAGTTTGCAAATTTTCTCTGGGCAAATAAGTTTGTACTAAAATTCTCTGTCTGTTTAAGTTTTTAGAACTTTTTTGCTGATTATAGTTGTTCCTTCAGCATTCAGCTCTTGTTTGCTGTACATTTCAATTAGTGCCTGTGCCAGTGTTTTGTCCCGTTTTTCATTATTAAACGTTTAAACTTATGCTTTTTGCCTTGTTTCACCATATGGTGTCGGTGTCGGTGTCTTCTTTTGGAGCTGTTGTTTCTCTGCTGTAAACATGTTTACGCGTATTTATTTCCCATGTCAGTTGCAGAGAAGGCGAACATGCAGCTGTATCTAGTCACCGCAGAAGAAGCAAAAACAAATCAATCGTAGACAGGCAATTGTGTAAATTACTATTCGTACCACACTTGCACGTCAGTACCTTTTATTATTAGCATTTATTTTTTTCCCAATTGCTGATTGGGTTTTTTTTCAAAAAAACAATAAATAAAAATAAAAACATTGCTTTACGTAAAAATTTGTTTTTATATTTTTAGTATTGGCACAAAATTGAAAGTGTCTAGGTTTGAAAATGAAAAGGGAACAGGTTTGGTCTTGATTAGACCATCGTGGAGGCTGTTTTCAGTGAGTAGTGACGACTGCCTTTCACCAGCGCCCGACTTTTTCCGGGTCTGCATGAACTTGTTATACGTCGGAAATCATTCTACGGCGGAAAAAGTGATAAAAATAAAAATCGGAAATTAATTTAGCTACCCATCTTTAACATTTTTTCTCTTTCTTTTCCTTCTAAGGTTCTTTCTGTTCTTCCTTACCCTAAAGTTGACACTCATCCAGGAGTAGATGATTGGGTTAACGGCAGAGTTTGCCATGGCCAACCAGTGACAGCTAAAGTAGGTGGCCACAATTGCTTGCAGTGAAAACTGGCTGCAGTAACTGAGCACACCGTAGTCGAGCAAAAACTGGTACAGCTTTATTGGCGCCCAGCAAATGCCATACAGTGCCATCACCATGAACAGCATTTTGATTGTCTGAAGTAATAATTGACAAAAGTGTGTGAAGGAGAAAAGTTGGATTAAAAATGCAATTGAAAATTATTTTAAAGTGATTTTTAGGTTTCAGAAAAAAATAAAAAGCATTAACCCTGAACCCTAACGACGGTGCCAGTTTTCGTTAGAATCTTTACCTTTGATCGATTAGCATTGGCGGACTTCCGCAGATTGACGACCGATCTGCTTTTGAGTGGTGATCCTCCTTTTCCTCCGTGCACCCTCAGCCCTTCGCCGTTAGTTACATTTGGTGAGTTTTCAGCGCTTCCGGAGATGGTCGTCTCTGCCAGCACTGCCTTCCCGTCGGCAGAGCTTTTTGCGACTAGAGTTAGCTTTTTGACAGAGCCGGGACTCTTCTTGATTACCAGACTGCCACCGCCGCCAGTGCATCCATTGCTGCTGTTCTTCGTCGTCGTCGTCGTTTGGAAGGCCTTTACCTGGAGGACAGTGCCACCGGAGGCGACCCCCTTTGAGGGCGACTGGTCGGCGAGCAGCTTGCGCATGATGGCCGTGTAGGCGGTGACCAGGACGAGCAGTGGCAGGAGAAAGGTGAGCAGAAGGTTGGTGGCCATGAAGATGCGTCGCTGGGTGACACTGACGCCGATGTCGTAGCTGCACTCGTAGTACGTCTCATTGCCCAGTGTGAAGGCACGGGTGCCCGTGTTTTCGAAGGGAATGTAGGCGTACAGTGATCCGCCGATCCAGGTGAGGGTCAGCAGAAGGCGGGTATGCGTGCAAAGCCAGCGGTGGATTGCTGAAAAGGGACGAAGGGTGGCGTGGTACCTGAAGAGGAAATACACAGAGTGAATTCAATCTCCAGAATGACTAGTCTCTCAGTGCACTGCACCAAATCATGAGTAGATAAGGTTGTTAAGCTTGCACTCTAACCGACTACTCCCAGTCAGTTCTTTTCTTTTTTTGTACAATGCATCTAAATTATTTTAAAAATTTGCATTTTATAGCACTGTTATGTTTGTTTGAGTGCATTTAAAAAATAATTTGCTTTTGCAAAAAATGAAAATTTGCTTTTTTCTGTTCTCCTCCCCTATTAGCATCTATTATTATTTCATCTTTTTTAAATTTTGGAACAATTTAAAAGATGAGCCCATAATTCCTCTAGCTAAACCACCCTTTCTCGTTTGCGTTGTACCATTTCCATAATTACCACTACTTATTATGGCACTTGTTCAGCTGCCTAACAGATCAGTAAAGCGCCAACTTTGTGTGCATCTGGAGATGATGATGGCGGTAGTTTTGTCTATAGAGCACAAAGGATGCCAAAGTAAAACATTATGCAAAGACAGGAGAAGGAGAGAATGGTGGCAGTGAAATAATCTTCCACTTTTTTGCGTGTTCATTCTGGTAGAAGAAAACTGCCCCCAGGGAAATATAGGGGATCTTCGGTTTGGTACGGTACAGTACAACGGCATCTGCTTAAGTATTCCCAGGCACTGTGCGATAACAATTGCTGTGGTAACATTTCTCATTCTCCTCATTTTTTATCTACTTCATTTTTCTTTTTCACCCTACCTCAAGCTGGCAGGTAGAGACGAAAACTTTTTTTATTGTTGTTGTTGTTGTTCACTGCAATGTTGAAGTATCTCCTCATAAGACGCTCTCTTTTACATGGCAACGTTCGCCAGCGTTAACTGACTCACTCATTCTGCCAGCACACCGGCTAAAAGTTTTCTACACACTGACCACAAAAGAAACCTGATAAGCGGTGCAGTCCTTTTCGGTAAGAAAGAGCCAGAATTTTATTATAGCTTAACGGACGAGCGTAGTCAGGCAGTTGTCGTGGAATCACCAGGGCGGATATCGCGGTGATTGCGTTGTCTGTGATCATTTGGAACGACCGAGCTGAGGAAAAGGAAAAACCAGGAAAGACAAGCAAATCATGGCTGTGGTGGCCAAGATGATGAAGAAAAAAGAAGGAGAAGAAGAAGGAGAAATCCGAATGGCATGGGCAGTTCCGATAATAATAATAATAATAATGAGCCCAGCTGCCGGGCGGCAGTGCCAATGAGCAAGTGAATGAGTACACAGCTGAACGGTATTATTAAGGGAATAGGACCAGTTAGTGACAGTTATCAATTGACTTAAGGATTGCTGGAATGCTTTGCACTGGCAAACACACATTGCAGCACCGGGCAAAAAACTAAAAGCAATATCAAACGTTAAAAGAAAAGAGAAAGATTCTCTGTTATTATTAAAGATTGCATGAATGGCAATCTCTTTCAATGGTGATTCCACCAGTGATCTGCCATTTCTTGTCTCTGTCCCTAGTTGCACTGTTTAAAAAAACGAAAGAATAAGACGACATTTGCCTAGCAATTCTCGCCTACAATTTATCCTCCCATTGCTACTACATCTGCTCAGTCATTCAAGCTACGATTGGTTGCAAAAAAATAAAGATTTATCGAAATGCTTTCCCGAATGCATGAATTTTTTGTCATCGACAACCTTTTGCAATACAGTTTTAAAAATAAAAAACTAAAAAAATTTCTCAAACCAGGATGTAGATGAAAAATGGAGCATGCACTCGAGTGCTCCTCAGACAATGCAATGTAAAGCGAGGAATAAGGCAAAAATTAATCTTTTTTCAATTGTAGCAATTGTTCGACAGCAAGCATTTGTTTGCGCTTTAAATGGTACTCTTTTGCCTTTTCTCATGCATCTTCCAGTGCCAGACGAATTTGACTATAGGCACTGTAGTGGAAAATTAATTTGCATGTCAACTGTCGGATTTCTCGGCACTTTCTGGTACACTCTCAGTCACCCCTCGACAGCTGCCTTTTGCTAGCTACTTGCGATAAGTGTGTGTTTTGTTTGCGCAACCTATTTCGGTGTTGGTGCTAGTGTTTGTGGTAATCGGATTGATACCCTACAAAAAATGGGGGCAGGCAGTAAATGATTTCACTTCAAGACACCAGTTTCTACCAGTGAGTGTTCGGTTTTTCGTTATAGGCGGATTACTGCATGCATGCTTCGATTTGCGTTTTGTTTTTGCAGCAGTTTTTGGCATCAATTTCTACCGAGACAGGTTTCAACTTTCCTTTTTCGGGTTCAGTATGTAGTTGTGTGTGGGAGCATGTGTGTGTGTGCCTGAATTCTGGCCAAATGGATAATGCTTATTTTGCCGATTACCGCATTGGCACCGCTTGGCAGCCGCTGCTGCTGGCACTGATCAGTTTGATGATTAGGGAGAGGAAACCAAAGGGGATAGAAAGGACTCTAAAAAGCAAGTAAAACATTCTGCGTTTCTCTCTTGTGAATTTGCATAGTGCTTACGATGATTTTGCCACAATCACTATAAGGAAAGTGTATCTGCTTTCTGCACTCTCGAAGGGTAATATTCTTTGCTTTTTTTACTCTCAACGGCTTTTTTTCTCCCATCCACAGCCTGTCATAAATGGGCATATTAGTTGATTAATCGACTTCAAGGCGGCAAAGACTGGTGTTCGTTTTTTCTCTCTCTTTTTTCAGAGTGCAGCTTATTACCTTTTTCAAATCTACTACCTATCACTATTTACTGCCAACCAACACACAATATTGAGGTTATCTAATCAGAGGCTTTCTCCGGTTTCAATTTTACTATCACAATATTCACTATTCAAGGACGAGCACGTACCTTTCCACGCCAATGATACATAATGTTAAGCTGGTGACAAAGACACTTAATATGATTTTTAGAAAAATAAATATTAATTTGCTCTGCACACCTACCTTAACAGCTGGACCTTTTATCACAAAAAGAAAAAGATAAATTATTAATGTATTGTTGTGGTAAACTGCCTTCTTACGTACAAACTGCGCCAAAGGGCACAAAGCTGATGGAAAAATCCTTGAGATGAGTCAATAAAAAGAACGTTTAGTTGATCTTATAAGCTTCTGATTAGGGTTTAAATATATACCACTGTCCCCACATAAAGTCAGTGAAGGTAAACGGTACACACAAAACAGCGAGGATAATGTCGGAAACCGCAAGGTTAGCCAAACACAATCGTATGGTTGGTGCTGATTCACTGCCCAGTGTGGAAACGAGAATCACCGTGAGGTTGCCCAGCAAGGCTAGCAGAGAAGTACAACTGTAGAGGCCAATGAGAAAGTACTGCACTGAAGTCCAGGGCACCATCTCTAGCGTTTCAGGAACATAGCACTCGGAGGCAGCTGTTGAGTTGGCAGATGATGATGAGGATGATGGTAAAAGAACAAAAAGGGGATTTGTGGTGGTGAAAAAAGAGTTTGCACTACTAGAGTGTAGGGAAAAAGAAGGCAACGGTGAGTCGGTGATAGGGTCCATGATGAAGATGGATGCTTCACGTCTAGATTAATTAAAAGGCACTGAGAAAACTATAATGATGACAGCTTATAAAGTGAAAATAAATGAAAAACAAGCAATGACCAAACGAGTCTGTCCACAGTGCCGTCTCCAAACTGACTGTCAGATTAATTTTTCGCGGCATTTCCGTTCCTACTTTCCGTCCGTTTCTTTTCAATTCACTGCTGAATATATGCTTTTCCAATTTTCTATATAAGCGGCTCTTTTCGCCAGTGTTTCTCAAGAGTGCTACTCGCACTTTGGTTTTTAACAAGGTAGCAGTGCACACTGTTGGCATTTACCGTTGCGCTATATATTTTCATCTTCAGTTGAATCGTTTAGGTGGAATTGTTTATTTGGTTTTTTGGTTTATATATTTTTCATATTAAATGTAATTCTTTTTGTCAAATATTGTTGTGACAATAAAAGAATTTTTTTAGAAGCATTCCTGTGTAGATTTGATTTGTATTATCAACTTTTATCTAAAAGAAAAATGCCATTATAGTATTGTATTATGTTGCGATTTATATTCAATTTATAAAAACGAGTTTTTAAATCTTTTTTCTTATATTTAGTATAAACAGTATTCCCTAGGTGGCACAGTAGTAGTAAATAATTTTAAAATAAAAATATTTTTATTTTTTGTAAAAAGTTACCAAATTTTTTTTATTAAACTATGTTTTTATTAATTAGTTGATAACATGAGAAACCAGATCCAGATTTAGAAACGATTTTCACTTTTATGGTGTTTCTAAAAATAGACCGCAAACTTTCACCGCCCGTTCTCATCAAGCACGTTTTCAACAGATACATAATCTTTTTTTTCGCCTCAATAGTGTCGCAAAAGTGTAGTACCGCTAAAATTAGCCGCAAACAATGGTGGGGATAACTTTATAGTTTTGCAAAAAATGTTTTTATAACTTGGTTCAACTTATGACCCTTCACGATAAGTGTGCTATTCAAATTACCCTACTTACATTTGTATGAGCAGTAAATGCTGACGGTTAAGAAAAAGATGCGTTTCATTCTTATCGATGGTAAATGACGGCTCCAATCAATTATTTTAATATTTCATCTAATAACAAGTTTAGTTTTCAGTGATTACTAAAAAGAGTTTA